TAAGAAAAATCCATACAAAAAAAAAATTCATAAGCATTTTGTAAAAATGAAAAGTCTATATTTTCTTACGGACAATTTCCCCTCCTTTCTTTTCTAAAGTCAAGGAACTGCATGACAACATTTGGGAAACTCCTACAAGTCTTCTCATTTGCAAATTATAAATTAGGTTGCTTTGTATTTGCCCTCATCTTTATTTCAGGTAAAATAAAATTTGTCACAGACACTCTCCAAATATTTTCGGGGCAGACAGCAGGAAGAAATAAAAGGCAAATCATTTACTTCACGCTCTACCGCCATTCGAGCTTATCTTTGAATTCTAAAAAAAAGGGTACAAAGCACTTTATTTCCTCAGATGCTATCTGAGGAATTTAAGACTCTGGTATCAAACAAGGAAATGAATGGCAGAGGTGTAGATTATAGAACTGCTGTGAAGGAATAATAGAACAGGTCAGTCAACGTTTAGGAAAATCGACTGAAGACTATTAGAAAGCATGTTCCAGACAGAATCAAAGTCAGTGACTATATTATATATATATATATATATATCTGTGATCGATCAAGCTCTGTTTTCGAGTTGGTTGGCAATCAGATTCTAATCTCAGGTCCTCGGATTTAAAGGCAAGGAAACCAAGAAAAGTTAATTTCTCAGGGTGGAATCTTTCAGCCACAGGTGCTTTTCATTTATTGGAAGACAAAAGGCCTTCCAGTACGGACCATTTCACTGGTCACCATGCTAACCGTGCAAACCAGGCATTGCCTTTGTTGATCAGAATATGGGGTCTTGCACTCTCATTGGTTTGGATTCAGTTTTTCTGGCCTCTGTGTAGTGCTGAGAAAATGTTTTGTTTTTACAACTCTAGACACTTCTGGGCTGCTAATTGGGGCAGACAGTGCTGGGCAAGATGGACTAAAGGGCCGATCTGGCCCTCTCAAGCGTTTCTAGACGTTTGTATAAATATATATATATATTTATTTTCATTTGACGTGTGCCTCTGTTTTGGATTATTTGTACATTTTGAAATAAAAGTTTTTATATTGATAACAACCATGTGCGTTTCTTAGTTATTTACTCTGCTGCGCAAAGAAAACAAAGCTTAAAAGTAGATGGCGTTGATCCCAAATTTGACATGTGCATAGCCATTGTTGTGGGCCGCCAGCGGCCTGCGCGGATCGTGGCTGATCCCGACAACGAGGAGGCTGGTGTGTCGCGCCAGAAGCCTGCGCAGCCGGCGCTCACGTAGGACAGCGAGAAGGCTGAAGAGGATGTGATGCCAGAGGCAGAGACTCAGCCAGGGCCTTCAGAACCTCCAGAGGCTCCTTCAAGTGGAGAGAGCGAAGTGGAGGAGCCTCTCGTCAATGCTCGAGCACGCAGGGCTGCCAAAAGGCAGGAGTGGCTACTCAGGAGGAGGAGGTCTCCTCGAGAGTAAGGCTTGAGGATAATTGGCCACTCCCCTAGCCTATTTAAGTCACACGCCGTTAGTATGTTTCTTGCTAGAAACAACTAGTAATTATCAGCATTTTTGGAAAAGTCTTATCGTATCTTGTTTTCTGGGCTGGTTGCCAACCTTTGCCGGACTTTGGTTTATTCTTGCTACTTAATAAATTTGATAAGGACCGTTGGTGTGTGTCAATATCCTCGGGAATCCGGAGCTGGGGCAGAACAGCCATTTTCTTTAGCTCTCTAATATATTCATATATTCCTTTCTCTTTACTATGTGAGGGGGCTTTCTGGCAGGGGTGAAATCCAGCAGGTTCTGACAGGTTCTGGAGAACCGGTAGCGGAAATTTTGAGCAGTTCGGAGAACCGGCAAATACCACCTCTGGCTGGCCCCAGAGTGGGATGGAAATGGAGATTTTGCAGTATCCTTCCCCTGCCACACCTACCAAGCCACACCGCGCCCACCAAGCCACACCCACAGAACCAGTAGTAAAAACATATAGATTTCACCACTGGTTTCTGGGCTCACCACATGCTTAGGTGGTGGGGGGAGCGAATAGACAGTGAGGATTGTTTTGGCTAGGTGACTTTCTGTTCCCATGGGAACAGAGGCTGCTCCTGGTGAGAATGGAAGGTGGAGTTTGAAGACTCCAGGAAATGTGGATTTGAGTGTTTATTGGAGAATGTGACTTGAGGGATGTTTCGAACTTGCAATATTATGTGGTGTAATTTTGGTTTGTGTCAGATTCAGAATTACAACAAACTGCCAATTTGTTGACTACCTAAATAAAAAGAATTTGTTTGGAAGATGGACTTTGCCTAGTTCTTTTTTGAATGGGTTTCATCATTGGGAAACCTGACAGATAGGGGAAGAACAGATCACCGCAGGAACAAAACAAAACAAAAAATGTAACAAACACCCTTCTACTAAGTTCCTCAATGAACAACCTCTGGTAGAAATATAAAATATCCTTTATTTTTAATTGGGAAATAACACTGGTTTCCATGTGCTGCCAAACTGACATTTTGCTCTTTGATAATAAGCATTATCTGGAGCATATTCCAAGAATATCTACACATCCTTTGAACATTGGCCCAAATGTTCTTTAATCATTCCGGAAGAACGTATCGTCATGATGCAGCCTTCCTCTCCCCACAAAGTTAAATATATAAAATCATGTATTCAATTTTGATACCGCCCAACTTCATCTGTCTGGTCATTATCTCATTCATAGCTAAACCATACCACAGCATTTATAGAGCAAGACTTATGTTGGCCAAAGCTAGGAAGCTGAACAGTCTATAGTGAATTAGGTTTAAGAACAATTTTCTTGGCACTAATTCACTATAAAGGTTAACAAATAGGGGGTGCCAATATGTTTTAATGTTTAACACACTTCACCATTGGTTTCATAACTAATCCGTAATAAAAAAATACAACCACAATAAAGATATTGTCTTAGTAAGGATTTTGCTTTATTATTGCTGTTGGTGACTCAACTGAATATATCATTCAAATAAAAAACCAAAATAAATACATAATTTGTCCAGCATCCTAAAAGCAAACAGATTTTGCAGACACTTGGTGCAATGTTTCTCAACCCTGGGATCTTTAAGATGAATAGACTTCAACTCCCAGAATCCCCCAGCCATCCACCCATCTTAAATCCTTGGTTGTATAAACACAGGCATAGAATCAAAATCCACATGAAATATTAGTACCGCTTTATAAAGTCTTAGTAAGACCACAGCTGGAATACGGCATCCAGTTTGGGTCACCACATTGCAAAAAAGTTTTTGAGACTTTGGAAAAAGTGCAAAGAGCAATTAAGATGATTAAAGGCCTGGAGACTAAAACATATGAAGAACAGTTGCAGGAATTGGGTTTGGCTAGTCTAGAGAAAAGAAGGAGTAGGGGGACATGATAGCAGTGTTCTAGTATTTGAGAGGCTGCCACAAAGACCAGGGGATCAATTTATTTTCCAAAGCACCAGAAAGCAAGACAAGAAACATTGGATGGAGATTAATCCAGGAGAGAAGCAACCTGCAATTAAGGATAAATTTCCTAACAGAACAATTAAGCAATGGAACAACTTGCCTTCAGAAGTTGTAGGTGCTTCATCACTGGAGGCTTTTAAGGAGAGACTGGACAGTCACTTGTCTGAAATGGTATAAATAGAATCTTCTGAGCAGGGGGTTGGACTAGAAGACCTCCAGAGTACCCTTCAAGCTCTATTCTGATTAATTAAATAACCCAAGCTTGTAGAGATTCTCAGTCCTCCAGGTCATGTTTGTCCCAAAAGCGCTTTTTTCAGGAGGCAACTGGACTTTCTTGTTTTGTTTTTTTTCTTTTGAAGATATTTCGCTTCTCCTCCAAGAAGCTTCTTCAGCTCGGACAGGATGGTGGGGAATGAAATCCTGCCTCCTGAAAAAAGCACCTTCGGGATAAATCAGGCAAGGTTGAGAAACACCAGCTTTGTGCACATTCCTTGCAGCAGGTGTCACGTTTCAACAGGTACAGGAGACTCCCTGAAACCGCAGGTCTGTTTTGAGGCATTTAGAAATAGAATAACAGAGTTTGGAAGGGACCTTGGAGGTCTTCTAGTCCAACCCCCCTGCTTAGGCAGAGGAAACCCTATCGTACCATGTTAGACAAATGATTGTCCAATCTCTTCTTAAAAACTTCCAGTGTTGGAGCATTCACAACCTCTGGAAGCAAGTTAGCAAATAATCCAGTGGAACAAGTTGCCTCCAGAGGTGGTGAATGCTCCAACACTGTAAGATTTTAAGAAGAGATTGGACAACCATTTGTCTGAAGTGGTGTAGGCTTTCCTGCCTAAGCAGGGGGTTGGACTAGAAGACCTCAAAGGTCCCTTCCATCTCCGTTATTCTATTCTATTCTATTCTATTCTATTCTATTCTATTCTATTCTATTCTATTTATTCTATTCTATTCTATTCTATTCCATTCCATTCCATCTATTCTATTCTATTCTATTCTATTCTATTCTATTCTATTCTATTCCATTCCATTCCATTCCATTCCATTCCATTCCATTCCATTCTATTCCTATTCCTATTCAAGTTGTTCCACTGATTAATTGTTCAATTTCCCCAGTTTTGCAGAAGAAAGGCCTTTAAACCAGCCCACGCTCCGAATCTTTCCTTTCGGCGCATTCCCTCCACCTCGCTTCTTATCTCGGGGTAAGACTGGAAGCGCCTTCCAGATCAGGGGTCTCCAACCTTGGCAACTTTTAAGACTTGTGGACCAACTCCCAGAATTCCTCAGCTCAGCTCAGCTCAGCTAGCTGAGGAATTCCTTAGCTCAGCTGGCTGAGGAATTCTGGGAGTTGAAGTCCACAAAGTCTTAAAAGTTGCCAAGGTTGGAGACCCCCTGCTCCAGATAACGCTGGCTTACTCCAAACCAGCCGTACCCGAAGGCGACGCAGAGCCGGAACGCAAGGGTAGGACCTTTCTTTTTCCTCCCTCTTTAGGTCACGCTTCCGATTGGCTCTTGGAGGAGGAAAGTAACCCCCCCCACGGTGACGTCATGGCAAGAGGTGTGTGGGGGGGAAATCCGGGCCCGGAATGGGGCTGGTGCGTCTGTTCCGCCGGGCAGCCCGGCCGCTATGCCGCTTTCAAGCCCCTTTTCCCGGCCCGGGAAGGGCGGCGGTGCTTTGCCCTTCGGCGGCTCTCCGGACTCTCTCGGGCCCTACTTCGAGCTGGGAACCGGCGCGTCCTCCGGGGTCGAGAACCAGCCTAGGCGGGACGTTTTCCTCCTCGGCGGCTTTGGTGCAAACGGCACCGCTCTGGCTCCAGCCTTACCTCCGTCTCATGCGGCTGGATAAACCCATCGGTGAGTTTTTTTTTTTTGCAGCCTTGCCGGGTGGAGCTCAGCATCTCTCTCTCCCTCCTCGCTTCGTTTTGGCTTTGCAAAGCTGGAGGAAAGGGAGAATGTAGAACAACGGAGTTGGAAGGGACCTTAGAGGTCGTCTAGTCCAACCCCCTGCTTAGGAAGGAAACCTTACTTAACACCACTTCAGACAGGTAGTCCTCGAGTTAGGACCGCAAAGGAGCCCAGCATTGATTTTTATCCACCCGGATTGGGGCTTAATGGTGCGGATTTCTGTGCGTGGAGCAGGTCCCACCACCACCACCATCGATGATTTCCTATCCCCCCCTGCAAAGCCCAAATAACCGACCATTTATTTGGGGGCTTAGTAGGGCACACGGGTAGTCCTCGATTTATAACGATTCGTTTAGGGACCGTTCAGAGTTAGAGTGACACTGAAAAAAAGTGACAAGGCCGCTTTTCACACTTAACGACCGTTGCTGCAGCATTCCCATGGTCAGGTGATCTAAGTTTGGGCACTTGGCAACTGGCATGTACTTATGACGGTTGCACTGTCCCTGGGATGCGATCCACCATTTGTAACCTTCCCAGCTATCTTCCAACAAGCAAAGTCAATGGAGGAAGCCAGATTTGCTTAATGGCCGCATGGTTCACTTAACAACCGCAGCGATTCGCTTCCCAGCGGTGGCAAAGAAGGTCGTAAAAATGAGGCAAAACTCACTGGACCACTGCGGCCTTGTTTAGCCACAGAAAATCTGCGGTTCAATTGTGGTTGAGGACTGCCCGTATATCGCATGAACCCAGGGTGGTTTATTTATTTTTTTAAAAAAATGTTTTTAATTGGAATTTTTCAAGACGGTAAAAGTATAAAGAATTAAATTAAAAAATAAAAGTATATTTTTTAAAAAAATGTAGAAAAAGAAGGGTGGGGGGAAAGCCACACTCAGCTCTTGCTAATAAACCAGATTCTTATATTACTCCCTTCTTTTGTGTCCCTCTCATGCAAATGGTTGTAACATTTACAGAGTTGGAAGGGACCTTGGAGGTCATCTAGTCCAACCCCCTGCTCACGCAGGAGACCTATACTAGGGATTCGAACCGCCGAACTGCCAACTTTTCTGATCGACAAGCTCAGTATATTAGCCACTGAGCCCCCAGCCCCCTATTGTAAATGTTGGCTGGTTTTGGAGCAGTCAAAATACAGTTATGTGGATGTGGGGGGGGGGTGTCATAACGTTGAACAGTTGCTAAGCAACCAGCTGTAAATGGAGGGCAATGTGTAGTTCCATAATCCCCTCAGTATTAACAGCAATGGCTGAACTTCACAGTGAAAAACCCCTTTAGGGCACTACCCTCAGTTTAAAATAATTAAACCAAGATCAATACAGGTTTGTTCTTAAACTTTCAGAGACTCAAAAACTCCAGAAGTGTGCTTGTAGTCTGAGAAGACCTGAAAACCATAGAAATGTGATAGAAAATAGGTTTCTGTGGTGATTTTATTTCATTTTCTAATGCTTGTGGTATGACTCTAATGCAGAGGTCTTCAAACTTGGCAGCTTTAAGACTTGTGGACTTCAACTCCCAGAATTCTCCAGCCAGCATAACATAGTTGGCTAGAGAATTCTGGGAGTTGAAGTCCACAAGTCTTAAAGCTGCCAAGTTTGGGGACCCCTGCTCTAATGCATCATTATGAAATATCTCTGTAAATGTAATGGAATCAAGTAGGGAAGCATTAATCCCTTACAACTGTATAGATGAAGCTTTTGCTATTGAAAATATCGCTTTGTTTTGTTTTTGTATTTCTTTCATTTGTCTGGGGATTATATTTATTGCAGGCCTGTTACTGGAGTTGTATGACTTAATTTGGCCTCCAGAGGGAGTAAAATGCTTTCATAAATAACTGATTGTAAAAACACTAAAGGCTGATAAATACTGAATAATTTTTCAGAATCGGCTGGCATTTTTCTCTTGCCCGGAGGTTAGTTTTCCCAAATGAAGCATCCACTCTATTGTGTCTCACAATGAGATTGGTATAATGTTTTTCTCTGTAGGAAAAAGGCCAAATTAAAAAAAATGTGAAAAGAATATTATAGAATGGAATGGAATAGGAATAGGAATAGGAATAGGAATAGGAATAGGAATGGAATGGAATAGGAATAGAAATAGAAATAGAAATAGAAATAGAAATAGAAATAGAACAGAACAGAACAGAACAGAACAGAACAGAACAGAACAGAACAGAATTCTTTATTGGCCAAGTGTGATTGGACACACAAGGAATTTGCCTTCGGTGTATATGCTCTCAGTGTACATAAGGAGAATAAAATACATTCATCAAGAATAAAAATATACCACACTTAGTGATAGTGAAGGTTACTAATAAACTATCAAATTGTACTAGGAAACAAATAAAAACAATATAAATTGAAAGATACAAGCAACATGGTTATAGTAATAAGTGGGAAGAGAAAGATACTAGTAAGGAAGAGAAGAAGAATAGTAACACAGTCTTAGTAAATTATTTGACAGTGTTGTGGGAATTAGTTGCTAAGCAGAGTGATGGCATTCGGGGGGAAAACTGTCAAACTAGCTTAATTAATCAATTAATCAAACTAGCTTAAGACTTAAACTAAGGAACTGATTATTTTTGCATGCATCAGTATACATTCTACATCTCTCTTTTTCTGTTCCTTGTCTGATTTCTTATTTTTAGGGACTTGGCTGCTGTATCTTCCTTGTACCTGGAGTATATCCTTGGCAGCTGAACCAGGTTGTTGGCCATCCTGGGACCTCCTGTTACTTTTTGGTGCTGGCTCAGTTCTGATGCGTGGAGCTGGCTGCATTATAAATGACATGTGGGACGTGGACTATGACAAAAAGGTAGAAAAGATTCAGAGCTCATCCTATTTGCTAATTAAATAAATGGTCATTATAAGGAATGTAAGTTCCTGTCCTTTCTCTCTCCCTCTTTCCCTCTCTAGAAATTCTCAGAGAGATAGAGTCTAGTAGTTGCTAAGGTATCAGGTTACAAAGTGGGAGGCTCTGGGTTCAAGTCCCGCCTTAGGCATGAAAGCCAGCTAGGTGACTTTGAGCCAATCATGAGGAGACTATGAATTCTAAGGTAAAGGTAAAGGTTCCCCTTGCACATATGTGCTAGTTGTTCCCGACTCTAGGAGGTGGTGTTCATCTCCGTTTCAAAGCCGAAAAGCCAGCGCTATCTGAAGACATCTCTCTGGTCATGTGGCCGGCATGACTAAATGCCAAAGGCGCACGGAATGCTGTTACCTTCCCACCAAAGGTGGCCCCTATTTTTCTACTTGTATTTTTTACGTGCTTTCGAACTGCTAGGTTGGCAGAAGCTGGGACGAGTAATGGGAGCTCATCCCATTACGCGGCACTGGGGATTCGAACCGCTGAACTGTCGACCTTTCGATCAACAACTCAGCGTCTTAGCCACTGAGCCACTGCATCCCTGCCTTAAGTATGAAAACTGGCCGGATGACTTTAGACCAGTCACCAGGAGACTGTGAGTTCTAGCTTCACCTTATTCATGAAAGCCAACTGAATAGCTTTGGGTCACTCACTTTTAACTCAATCCAATCTTCCTCACAGGGTTGTTGTTGTGGGGAAAACAGGAGGAAGAAGGTATGTTGGTTATGTTCGCCACCTTGCGTTATTTGTAATATAAATAATAAAGGCGAGATGCAAATAAATTAAACTATAGTCACATCAGAGGCTTTCTATGATTTCCTTGAATAACCTTCCAATGCTAGCTACAGCTTTATTTTTTTAAGTGTCCATACGGTGTCTTTAAACTTGCTGAACAGGAAATGCCCAGAATTTAATTTCTCTCCAACAGTGTTTATATTGATTTATTTCAGCTCTGGATCCTTATCCTTAAAGGTTCACTTTGAATTATGAAATCTGTGATATACCGTATTTTTCAGAGTATAAGATGCACCCAGATTTTCACCCTCTTTTTTGGGGAAAAAGGTGCATCTTATACTCCGAAAAATATGGTAGCTAAAAAAAAATCATGCAAATGCTAGTTTAAGTCTCGTTATTTTACCACTTTCTCCCAACCTTTAAATATCTGGACTAGAGTGAAGCAACAGGTCTGTTCTAAAATGCCCATGCCAGACCAAATTTCCAGCCTCCTGTTCTTGGAAAAGATAATAGTCCAGAGTGCATCCTGTTGATGCACTCTGAGTTTCCAAGCAATTAGAATGAATGCATGTTGTCTTGTGTATTTCTGGACACCTATAATCATCCTGACTCAATAGATAATTTGTTTATTTCACTTCTGATAGTTATTGTCTTTAGGAGAAACTACATAAGCTTATTTAACTGTGGTTTGCTGTGGTTTATTCAATAAACCATAGTTAAATAAAGCTTATATGGTTTCTCCTGAAGACATCTGAAAGCGTATTTGAAATTTAAGCAATGTTAGAAAGTCATATTGTAAAGACACAGGCATTCTTTCTACCCTATTGGTTCATCATAACGCTGACTGGTGAAAACAAGCCAGGTTCAGAAACCATGATTTATAGTTCTCTCTGGATTTGGGCACCACGCAAGTTGCAACTTTTCTGAAACAACAAAATATATTGGAATGATTCCTCAAAACTGCATAGAGTGAAAAAAGGTGAACATGAAAACAGAAGCTTGTTCTATATAATACTGGTATTTGATGCTATTTTGCAAAAACTTACTTTAACCATTCACAACACAACTCCATAACGTTGTTTGTGTGCTTTGGATGATCTGATGTGTAAGGATGTTTCCTACTATACACAAATCACATCACTGTAGGATTACTCGGTAACCATGGTTTTAAATATCCTAGTTTAGAATATTTAAATAGCTCACTTCCTGAGGAGGGGGAATGCCAGACACTCAAAAGCCAGAAAGGAAAAACATACAAAGTAAATACGAAGGACCCTATAATGCTAAGAGCCAAAGTGTACACCCAAAATTGTGTATCAGGCCTGGAAGCCATCTTTTTCATTGGATCTTCAGGTGTGCCATATTTACTATTGTGGGAAACTGGGAGGGGGGAATTGTATGGAGCCAGGGTGAGATATATAGTCATAATAACATTCCTTTCTCAGAGAGTCAAGGACATCTTGCCCTGCACCCAGAGGGGTGTGACTGGGAGGCATCTCCAATTGTGATGGTGCTTGGATTTTACCATGTGATGTGCCAATATGACACCTTTAATAAAATGGAACTTTGAGGAAACTCAAGCCTCGGAGTTTTCTTTTGTTGGAGGTGTTAATTGGAACCCTGACATTATGTTTGGCTTATCTGCAAGTGTATACAATAATGCTTTTAAAATGTATTTAAATCCATATATCAATATATGCTGGTATACAAACACAACCACAGATAATCCAACCCTTGAATTTTAAACCAAAATACCATGAAAAAATGCATACATATAAGCCAGTTCTGAAAATGAAAACATACAAATTTTCAAAGGTCAGCTTATCTGCAGGGGGCGCATTTTTCACAGTATTTTAGTTAAACATTTGAACTTACCTGCCACTTTTCTGCTGATGGGCTTATAGGGAGTATATACTGTACGCATGGGCTACAGAATGAATGGATCCTGTAACTGATATATATATGTGTGGTCAGTGATGGAATGCAGCCTCCGAAATAATTGTTTGTATTTTAGGTGGTGAGAACTGCAAATCGGCCACTGGCAGCTGGAGAGCTCACACATTTTCAAGCCCTTGTATTTCTCGGTACACAGCTTAGCTTGGCTTTGGGTGTCCTGCTGTGTTTAAATTATTACAGGTAAGTTCATTGTAAAGAGTTGATTGCATGGGTCATTGGTGACAATAGGGACCTTCTTAATTATGTGTTGTCCCAGTTTAACATGTTTGAAAACATGAGTTCCATACACGAAAATTCATTTATCATTTTACGGGATAGTTAAGGAATTCCAGGGTGAGCCAAGGCTAGCTCATCATGGTCTTCATGAATGAATGAATGAATGAATGAATGAATGAATGTTGGTTGCCCTGCCCAAAGAGATGTCTGCAAAGTATACTTAATACGTTCCCTGCTTCCATATTTATTGCAAAATACGACCTTTTCTCCTACTTTTTTAGAGGCTACTTGAAGAAAACAGTGATTTGTCATTTAACGCTTCCAATTTTCTCACAGCATTATTTTAGGCGCGTCTTCTTTATTTCTCGTGGTGACTTATCCTCTAATGAAGAGAATAACTTACTGGCCACAGTTGTATTTAGGTAAGTCCAGCAACTTCCATTTCATATGAATGGGCAGCTTATACCGGCTTGAATTAATTAATTGAATTAACATGAGAAGTAATTTGTCATTCTTTCCTCATCCCCCGTGGGAGTTAAAATGTTTTATTCTCAGGATATTGGCTACTTCCAAAACATTTTTATGTTATAGTATAAAAAGCCAGTTTGGTCTAGTGCAGAGGTGTCAAACACAAGGCCCGCGGGCCAGATCCGGCCCACAGAGTGCTTAGATCTGGCCAATGTGGCCCCCCTGGAAGCAGCGAAGGAACGGCCTGTGGTGCCTCGGCCAGTGAAAACGGAGCTCGGGAGGACTGTGCAGAGCCCTCCCAAGCTCCGTTTTCACTGGCAGAGCACTCAGGCCCCCCAACATGAGTGACATTGAGCTGGCCACTCCCACCCAGGCCACACCCACCCGGCCCCCAAGGTTAACCACAACCCTGATGCAACCCTCAATGAAATTTGAGTTTGATACCCCTGGTCCAGTGGTTAAGGCACCAGGCTAAAAACCAGGACACAGTGAGTTCTAGTTCACTTTAGGCATGAAAGCTGACTGGGTGACTTTGGGCCTATCACCAGGAGATTCTGAGTTCTAGTCCTGCCTTAGGCATGAAAGCCAGTTGGGTGGTTTTGCATTAATCTCTTTCTTTCTTTCTCTCTCCCTCTGTACAACCCACCTGACAGAGTTGTTGTTTTGGTGAAGATAGGAGGAGAAATAAGTAATGTGTGTGTTTGCTGCCTTGACTTATTTATAAAAAAAATAAAGTTGGGATAAAAATCTAATAAACAAGCAAATAAATAAAAACAGGAGGCTGTGCCATACATTCACAGGACATGTTCTGCAGAGAGCATTTGAAGTAGAGTAGAGTAGAGTAGAGTAGAGTAGAGTAGAGTAGAATAGAATAGAATAGAATAGAATAGAATAGAATAGAATAGAATAGAATAGAATAGAATAGAATAGAATAGAATAGAATAGAATAGAATAGAATAGAAGAATAGAATAGAATAGAATAGAATAGAATAACAGGAGTTGGAAGGGACCTTGGAGGCCTTCTAGTCCAACCCCCTGCTTCAGCAGGAAACCACTTCAGACAAATGGTTTTCCAACATCTTCTTAAAAACTTCCAGTGCTGGAGCATTCACAACTTCTGGAGGCAAGTTATTCCACCGGTTGATTGTTCTGTCAGGAAATTTCTCCTTAGTTCTAAGTTGCTTCTCTCCTTGATTAGTTTCCACCCATTGCTTCTTGTCCTGCCCGCAGGTGCTTTGGAGAATAGCTTGACTCCCTCTTCTTTGTGGCAGCCCCTGAGATATCGGAAGACTGCTATCATGTCTCCCCTAGTCCTTCTTTTCATCAAACTAGACATACCCAGTTCCAGCAACCGTTCTTCATATGTTTTAGCCTCCGGTCCCCTAATGAATCAGACATGCTTTTTGAATTGTTGGGGCAGCTGTGGACTCACAGAACTTAGGCAGCTGCTTCCAAACTGCTCCCTGCTGCATCTCCATAAACAGTTATCACATTTGATTTTGGAAAGCAAGCCTCCCAATCTCTTTGTAGTAGTGGAGGGAAGAACGGATGTTGGCTGACTGTCTTCATAAGACTGTTTTGGCCATAAAGCTCTGCTACCCTTCTTCGCTTCTTCTCGTCAAGTCGCTGATCAAGAGAAGTGGAATGAAAACAATTTGCCTTCTGTTATGAGTCAGGCTTAGCGATGGGAGGCTCACTACTTTGTGTATTGGAAATTACTTCCTCATTAAGTTGGACTGACTCATTTTCCTCAAATACGACGAAAGAAAACAATGCACCCTTCCATAAAAATGCAGCCTAATGTATATTCGTAATGCCCCATTAATCATTTATACACCTAGGAGGGCTTGAAAAATGGAAAACTCTGCTACTTGGCTCTCTCTAAAAATATTGAATAAACAATAGCCTAATCTTATTTATATACACATAGCCCTCAATTCACCACCGTAATTGAGCCTGGAATTACAGTCATAAGTCATGCCAGTTATTAAGTGGACTACCATGTGAGCAGACCCAATTTTGGGACCTTTTTTTGCAGTGGTCATTAAGTGAATCACCATAGTTGTTAAGCGAAACTATTGTCCTTGATGGGCATTGTTTGCCAGAAATGGAAGGAAACATTGGCTTCTGACAAAAAACATTATAAATTGGGGTCACATTGCCACAGGAAACGTTTGCCAAACACCCAAAATGCATTCACATTAGCATGGGGTGTGTGCGACTGTTGGAATTTTGAATCTGGGTTATAAGTAGCCCTGGGGAAGTCCGTTGTACCTTCAAACGGTCGCTAAGCGACCAGTCACAAGTCAAAAACTACCTGTGATTGAAATCCACTTCTGTATGTTTACTTTGCATTAAGATGGGTAGTTATGAAATGAAAAGACTAAAAAATCGTCACAGCATCTTAGCGTCGGCGGAGAATGCGTATTTTACCTCATCTATGTTAGTTTTTTAAAAATCCCAGAAGAAGGATTGGGAAGACGCTCTTCCATATTGTTGCCAAAGAAAATGACATGAACGTGTCCGTATATCGCTGGAGTTGAGCGCCGTTTGTGAGGAGTATTCATTTTTAACATTTGATGTTATGGATCCTTAGGAAATGTATTAAGTATGGTTTCGTCCTGAGGTCCCTCAAACCTTCTTTAGACTTGAAATATAGAAGATGGGAATTCCTGAAGCTAATCACAGACATCATCAGCTAATTCCATACTATACTAAACCCAGTGTGTAGGAGATGACCAGGCTGAGGCCGAGGGAGGGATCAAACATGTCATCAGTCATGAGTCTCTTCGTGCCCACAAGAGATATAAGTCCAGTCCACCTTGAATTCTGTTGACTCTTATCTACCGCAAGTTCCCTTGACCATTAGTAGTTCAGATTCCTGATTTCCCCTGGTGCTTGACACAGTGTCTCTAAAATTATTTATTTATCAGATTTATATAGCCGCCTGTCTTACAAACATGACTCTGGACAGTGTACCATAAAATAGGAAGTCTAAACAAATATAAATAAGACCATGGGAGAATCCACCAACACCCTATACAAATGTCACCATGTCACAAGGCAGAGATATATAATTGAGTTTCATCAACACATTGATAATATGTCACCTCATGGGAACAGATGATCTCGCCCAATGGCTTTGTGTAGATGTTAAACAGCAACGGAGAGAGTATCGAACCCTATAGAGCAGGGGTCTCCAACCTTGGCAACTTTAAGCCTGGCGGACTTCAACTCCCAGAATACCCCAGTCAGCTTTGCTAGCTGGGGCATTCTGGGAGTTGGTCCTCCAGGCTTAAAGTTACCAAGGTTGGAGACCCCTGCTCTAGAGCCACGGTAGCACAGTGGTTAGAATGCAGTACTGCAGGCTACTTCTGCTGACTGCCGGCTGCCTGCAATTCGTCAGTTCGAATCTCACCAGGCTCAAGGTTGACTCAGCCTTCCATCCTTCCAAGGTGGGTCAAATGAGGACCCAGATTGTTGGGGAAAATAGGCTGACTCTGTAAACTGCTTAGAGAGAGCTGTAAAAGCACTATGAAGTGGTATAAAAGTCTTAAGTGCTGTTGCTATTTAACGACTGCAGTGATTCAGTTAACAACTCTGGCAAGAAAGGTCAAAATGGGGAAAACTCACTTAACAAATGTCTCTCTGAGCAACATAAATTCTGAGCTCATTTGTGGCCGTAAGTCGAGGACTACCTGTGCTCAAAATATAATACTCAGAAGTATTGCCACTTCTCAGGGTGTATGTGTGTGTGTTTAGCCAACGATGATTATGACTTGCTCTTCCTTATTTCTTTTAGGTTTGGTCTTCAATTGGGGAGCCTTACTTGGTTGGGCTGCAGTCCACGGTTCTTGCAATTGGTCTGTTTGCTTACCCCTGTATTTTTCCAGCGTCTGTTGGACTTTGCTTTATGATACTATTTATGCTCATCAGGTGACTCTTTTCCCACGTGTTCATTACAAAAGATATTGAAATGAGAGAGTGTGGTTGAATGAGGTTGCTATGGAAAACTTGTTCCCGTTGAACTGGAAACACGGGCAATTTGAAATGGCAAACAATGCATGTTTGCAGCTGCTTGTTATTTGTTTCGGTTCTCATTGATGCCAGGAACTATGTGGGTAGTCAAGGACTCCACCTGGCCATTGGATGAACTTTGGGGTTGATTCCTGATGATGTGGGGGAGAGATCTAACGTATGGCCCCTACTTTATGGGATACCCAGGAGAGAGAACTCTCCCCTGTCCTGTTTAACATCTACATGAAGCCACTGGGTGAGTGATCCAGTGATTTGGGGTGAGGTATCATCAATATGCTGATGATACCAGCTTTATATCTCCACTCTGGGCCATCTGTGTGAAGTTGTACATGTCCTGGCCCAGTGCCTGGAGGCTGAGATGGTCTGGATAGGGTACAATTGAGCTTCAGCATAACCCAAACAATCTGAGTGGCATTGGGCATTTGGGCCTTCCAATGACAAGGTTTTCCCCACTATTGATTGTGAATGGGGTGGCACTGCCCCAGATTGGACCTGGTGCGTGATCTGGGGGTCCTTTTGGACTCATGGCTTCTGCTAGAAGAGCAGGCGGCAGCTGTAGCCAGGAGAGCTTTTGCACACCTGAGGATCGTGCACCAGTTGTGTCAATTCTTACATCTTGGCAGCTTTAAGATATGTGGACTTCAACATGCTGGTTGGGAAATTCTGGGAGTTAAGAGCCCACCCATCTTAAAGTTGAGAAACACTGGTTTTATAGTATATAAATCTACAATATTATGTGATAACTTTATTTCATGATGATGCACAGTAATAAAAGATGCATTAACGCCCTTAAAGACCAACATTTTACCAGAAATAATATTTAACAAAGAAACAGGAGATGAAAAGCACAGGCAGAAACACAAGCCAAATTTCTTGAGGTTTTTTTCTTTGTTTTGCATAACATTGCATATACTACAAAAGATTCATAGCGTTGTCTGCCGGATAGCTGAGTTGTTTCTTGAGGTCATAAATACCAAATCTCCCATCCTTGGGGTACAGAAAGTAAGAACAAAAATTTGGAAAGCAAGACTTCTTGTATAATCATATTTCCTAAGCAAACAACTTAGGACCCGCCTACGGTCTTCGGAGAGGGGCGGCATATAAATTGAATAAAATAAATAAAAAATAAATAAATAAATAAATAAGCTATAAATATAAACTGAACTATTTAATATAAACACATTTAATAATTTAGGTGCTCAGCATTTTGGTATTCAAAGCTAATAGGCATCACCTTTTGATTTTACTTTCTTCTCACCTTTAAACCTAAAAGGGCACTAAATATTTTGTTTGTTCTGAATGCAAAAATACATCCAAAAAAGCCCCCATTTTGATATTGCGGAGATGTTATGACCTTGCCAGAGGAAGTGTGAGGGGTCCTTGGTGCTCTCTGAATTGAGTTGCTTTCTTGCATTTCATTACCCAAACTAGGTAACATCATTAGTCTAGGTCAGGGGTCCTCAAACTACGGCCCGCTGAAGCCATTCATCCGGCCCTCTTAGGACCACAATTCCTGCCCACATTGCCCCACCTACCCACTGGCCCCCATCCACCTTCTGGAGACCATGGAGGCCAAAAATGGGTCCGTTTTGGGGCAGCAGAGTGGTTCTGGAAGCCAAAGAGTTCCCCAGCCTCCAGAGAGAGGGTGGGGACCGGAGGGAGACACACACAAACAGAAGTCCCTCATACACACTCCAAGGCAGCCACATCCCTTCACTAACCAGCTTTCCACTTCCAGGAGCATAACAAAGTAAAGTTTAATTTGTGTGTATTGTTTAATGGACTGCTAAATTGGCCACGCCCACCTAGTCACATGACCACCTAGCCATGGCAACCCAGTCACATGACCAGCTAGCCATGGCGACCCAACAGGTCCAGCCCGCCAACAGTCTGAGGGACCATGAATTGGCCCCCTGTTTAAAAAGTTTGAGGACCCCTGGTCTAGGTTTAGCACTGATAATGTTACCTAGTTTGGTAATGAAATGTCTGCAAGAAAACAAGCGAGTTCAGACAGCACTAAGGTTTCCTCATTTCAACCCTGAGCTACAAATATTCTCCTTTTATTGGTAAGAGCAGGTGTGATACTAGAAATAAAGCCCTCCTGAACTTGGGGTACTTTCAGGATGCACAAAATAACCTGTTTCATCCCAAACATTTGAAAAACAAAACATTTTCCGCATCTAAAACACCCACGATTAATCATCTGCAAACCATTCCGCTGTCTAATTCAAAATATATTGCCTTTTTAAATTATTATTCCCACGTTCTTCACGGCTGCAAGTAGGCAGTGGGATGGTTTTTTGGCTGCTGTACGCCTCAAACTAAACTGCCTTTGTGGTTGGTGGTTTTTTTTTTTAATTAACAACTTTCCAACTTTCTGTTTTAGGATAAAAGAGACGATCTTGCTATCGGTGTGAAATCTACAGCGCTGCTCTTTGGGGAAAAGACAAAATACTGGCTGGCAGGCTTCAGTTGCACAATGCTTGGTGGACTAACGCTGGCAGGAATCAATTGCGGTCAAACCTTCCCCTACTATGCAGCGCTGGCAACCGCGGCCGTCTGTTGGGGAAACCAGGTTAGATGAGTTTAATGTTGGTTGAAGCTTGTGCTGCATTTCCAGGCTGCAGGACAGGGTTCAGCAGTGGAATGGAGGTGATAGACGGGACAATTATTATTTATTATTTTATCATATTTGTATACCGCCCTACTCCTGGAGGACTCAGGGCGGTGAACAGCCAAGATAAAAATACAAAGAACATACAAAAGTTAAAAGCTATTAAAAATAAATTAAATAATTTGGGCTCAAGAAACAAATTTAAAAACATCCAATTTATGTAAAACATTTAAAACCCAATTTAAAAGGGAGAGTTAGGCCAGACCAGCCTGTTGGAATAAAAACGTTTTTAGGGCACGGCGGAAGGTGCGTAAGTCTTGGATCCTCCGTATCTCCGGGGGGAGCTCGTTCCAGATGGCAGGTGCCCCCACAGAGAAGGCTCTCCCCCTGGGGGCCGCCAGTCGACATTGTTTGGCCGACGGCACCCTGAGGAGCCCCTCTCTATGGGAGCGAACTGGTCGGTGAGAGGCTACTGGTGGCAGAAGGCGGTCTCGTAAGGCAGTCTTGTCTCGGGACAAGAGCGAAGGGCCCAGTTGAAGGAAGAGGAAAAGGCATTTATAGAATCATAGACTCATAGGGCTAGACAGGACCTCAGAGGTCTTCTAGTCCAGGGGTCTCCAACCTTGGCAACTTTAAGACTTGTGGACTTCAACTCCCAGAATTCCTCAGCCAGCTTCGCTTAACAACTGTGCATAGAACTCTGGGAGTTGAAGTCCACAAATCTTAAAAGTTGCCAACGTTGGAGACCCCTGTTCGAGTCCAATCCTTTAGTCCTTATAACAGTATCAAACTGGATTTCTTCGAGGGCCGGATCAGCACTGTAGTTCTCTGCGGGCCAGCCGGGGAGGAGGGGCAAGGAGCGGGGAGGGGAGACGGGATGGACGCCTCCTGCAGCACTCTGCTGGCCAAAAATGGGCCCCCTACGCTTCATTTTTGGCCTCCAGCACTCTGCCAGCCAAAAATGGGCCATGCAAGCCCCCCCTCCCCCGTGCCTCATTTTTTGCCTCCTGTAGCACTCTGCCGGCCAAAAACCGTCTGCATGAAGTCCTCACGCGGCCCGTTTTCAGCCTCCCCAGCCTCCAGCAGCACTATTTCAGCCAAAACCAGGCTGCACATGCCCCCCACCCCCACAGCCTGTTATGGCTGGCAGAGGCACCGTGGGCCGATCCTTTGATATTTCCAGGCCAGCCCCATGGGCCAGATTTAAGCCCCCTGCAGGCCTGTGGGCCTTGAGTTTGACACCACTGCCTTATACCATCCCAGACAGAGGTGGTTTCAGCAGGTTCTGACCAGTTCTGGAGAACCGGTAGCAGAAATTTTGAGTAGTTCAGAGAACTGGTAGTAAAAATTCTGACGGGCCCCGCCCCATCTATTCTCTGCCTCCCAAGTCCCAACTGATCAGGAGGAAATGGAGATTTTGCAGTAACCTTCTCCTGGATTGGGGAGGGAATGGATATTTTACAGTATCCTTCCCCTGCCACGCCCACCAAGCCACGCCCACAGAACCGGTAGTAAAAAAATTCGAAACCCACCACTGATCCCAGACTAATGGCTGTCCAATAAAGCTAGTGCTTTAATGGTCATCTGAGATAAAAGAGGACTAGAAGACTTGACAGATTCTAAAATTTGAATAGGGGCAAGTATTGATGAATTATTTTGGTCTCTTTTTCCAGATATTCCATTTGGACATTAACAATCCTAAAGACTGCTGGGACAAGTTTTCTTCAAACCGCAATCTAGGGATTTTGCTTCTCGCAGGAATTATACTTGGAAACTTAAGGAAAGAGAAAGAAGAAGGAAGGGATGCTTTAAGCAGCAGCTAGAGCAGAAGAAAAGAATGCTGTTTTACAAATAAAAACAAACGAATCCTTTTTTTAAAAATCTGCTCCTTTATATTTAACAGATATGGTGCTTTATATTAAAATTCTAGAATGGTGGTTATTAGCTGCAGATTTGGTTGTTTTTGTGTTTGAACATATCTTGGCAACCATTCTGAATAAATTGAGATTTCACAGTAAAATGTTGAGATTAATTCTGCAGAGCTACATCTGAAGTTTTCCATTGTAAAATTATAAGATTGTGAGTGAATTAAACAGGTAAAACGATGTAAAAAAAAAATCAATCTTCCGACACTAAAATAGTACTACTGTGTAGTCGAAACTGCTTATAGAAGTGTAAACAATAAAATGACTGGTTTTATAGTATTGTCATTTATGACATTTGAGAGTTCTATATTCATATATCACTCATTTTAAAAATGTATGTATCGGATAAAAGGGACATCTATGAAATGATAATTCATGTTAGTTTATCAACCACCAGCAGCCTGAATATGCACAATTACTGTGTGCACAAAAGTGCTTATTTTAATGGTTTTAGGGTAAAGGTTCCCCTCGCACGTATGTGCTAGTCGTTCCTGACTCTAGGGGGCAGTGCTCATCTCCATTTCAAAGCCGAAGAGCCAGCGCTGTCTGAAGATGTCTCCGTGGTCATGTGGCCGGCATGACTAAATGTCAAAGGTGCATGGAACACTGTTATCTTCCCACCAAAGGTGGTCCCTATCTACTTGCATTTTTTACGTGCTTTCGAACTGCTAGATTGGCAGAAACTGAGATAAGTAACAGGAGCTCACCCTTGACACGGCACTAGGGATTCAAACTGCTGAACTGCTGACCTTTCGATCGACAAGCTCAGCGTCTACGCTACTGAGCCACTGCGTCCCTTTTAGTGGTTTTAGTTTCATACAAATAATTTTTCAAAAGCTTTACAAGTTTTAGTCTATAGAGTAGGGGTGTCAAACTTGATTTCATTAGGACCACATCAGGGCCACATGTGTTTGACCTGGGGGGGGCAGGAGGGCGCGTGACCAGCCCAACGTCACTCATGTCAGGGGCTCCTGTGGTGTCCCAAGCTCTGCCAGTGAAACGGGTTCCTGAGCTAGCTCCGTTTTCGGCTGCCACAACCTCCTGCAACTCTCTGCCAGCGAAAACGGAGCTCGGGAGAGCCGTGCATGGCCCACCTGAGCTCCATTTTCACTGACAGAGGCACTGTGGGCCAGTCTTTCATTGTTTTCAGATCTAAGCACCCTGTGGCAGGGGTGAAATCCAGCAGGTTCTAACAGGTTCTGGAGAACCGGTAGTGGATTTTTTGAGCAGTTCAGAGAACCGGCAAATGCCACGTCTGGCTGGCCCCAGAGGGGGGTGGGACTGGAGATTTTGCAATATCCTTCCCCCAGGAATGGGGTGGGAATGGGGATTTTGCAGTATCCTTCCCCTGCCACGCCCACCAAGCCACGCCCACAGAACCGGTAGTAAAAAAATTTGGATTTCACCACTGCCCTGAGGGCTGGATCTGGCCTGCAGGCCTTGAGTTTGACACTCCTGCTGTAGAAGGTCCAAGAATTGCTAACACAAACTATGGTTTGTTTTTTAAAACGATATTAATGTGTTACGCAAACTCAACTAATTATGACTCTCTCTGTCGTATTGAACCAGGGGTTTCCAACTTTTTCTATATCCGGCACCCCTAGAACGTTTCTGATATCTTCTCACACCCCTTACAAAAGTAAATAATTATACACTATAATTTTGAAACTTCTAAATCCAAATTTTTGCACCCCCTGGAACATCATCTCACACCCCCGGTTGGAAAGCCCTGTATTAAACGAACAGGGTTAGTGGGGTGTATAAACTGGACCAGCAAAAGAATTTTGCATTCATCCCTCTTTCAATTGTACAGGTAGTCCTCAATTTACAGCCATTTACTTAGTGACCGTTCCCAGTTACGATAGCACTGAAAAAGGTTTACTTCCAACCGGTCCTTGCCTTACAACTGTCATAACATCCCACGGTCACATGATCAAAATTCAGGTGCTCGTCAACTGGCATGTACAAGTAGTCCTCGACTTACGACCACAATTGAGCCCAAAATTTCTGTTAAGTGAGAAATCTTAAGTGAATAAATCATGTTGATTATTAAGCGAGTTATTGTGTGACTGTACCCAATGTTATGAACTTTTTTGAATCCCATTATCTGCAATGGGTGGTTTTTTGGCAAAAGGCATCATAAATTGCATTCACCTGACCATGGGACACTGCAAACGGCCATAAATGCAGGCCAGTTGCCAAGCATTCAAATGCAATCGTGTCATAACTTTGAATTCAGGTCATAAGTAGCCCTGGGGAGGTCTGTTGTAATTCTGAATGGTCATAAGTTGAGGACTACCTGTAAGCTGGATTCCAATGGCAAGTTTAAAACATAGCTTGAAATTTAACTGCAAAATCCTTTTTCGCCGGAATCCATTACTGCTCATTTCAAGATTAGGCATTACAGTAGAGGTCAGTGGTAGTTTCCTGGCTGGTTTGCTTGCTCACCCAGAGAGAAGCAAAGGATTTCTCATCCAGATGTTTGATTAAAACTTTGTTTGTCCAAACCATCTCCTGATTTATCCCCTTGGGCCTGGCATTAATTCACGATACCAGTAGTAAAGGTATCATGGCAGGACTGAAGCAGTGGTGGGCTTCAAATTTTTTTACTACCGGTTCTGTGGGTGTGGCTTGGTGGGCATGGCATGGCTTGGTGGGCGTGGCAGGGGAAGGATACTGTAAAATCTCCATTCCCATCCCAATCCAGGGGAAGGTTACTGCAAAATCCCCATTTCCTCCCGATCAGCTGGGACTTGGGAGGCAGAGAATAGATGGGGGCATGGCCAGTCAGAATTTTTACTACCAGTTCTCTGAACTACTCAAACTTTCCGCTACCGGTTCTCCAGAACTGGTTAAAACCTGCTGAAACCCACCTCTGGACTGAAGCTCATAAATTGAAGAGATTGTTCCAAACTTATCATCTCTTAAATTGCTGGCTTTAGAAGGCCGTCAAGCTGTATGTTCAGAGTGAGAAAAAAAATGCATTGATTTCATGCGTGCATATTACATGTGGGTAAGTGGATTTGTATTTTTTAACTTTTTAAAGTTAATTTCACTCCCTTTTTTTTTTAGAATAGAATTTTTTATTGGCCAAGCGTGATTGGACACACAAGGAATTTGTCTTAGGCGTATATGCTCTCAGTGTACATAGGGAGAATAAAATACATTCATCAAGAATAAAAAGATACAACACTTAGTCAAGCTTACTAATAAGCTATCAAATTGTACTAGGAAACAAATAAAAACAATATAACTGAAAGATACAAGCACATGGTTATAGTACTAAATGGGAAGGGATAGATACTAGTAAGGAAGAGAAGAATAATAGTAATACAGTCTTAGTAAATTATTTGACAGTGTTGTGGGAATTAGTTAAGGAAAGTGATGGCATTCGGGAAAAAACTGTCCTTGTGTCTAGTTGTTCTGGTGTGCAATGCTCTGTAGCGTCATTTTGGGGGTAGAAGTTGAAACAGTTTATGTCCAGGATGTGAGGGGTCTGTAAATATTTTCACAGCCCTCTTTTTGACTCGTGCAGTATACAGGTCCTCAATGGAAGGCAGGTTGGTAGTCATTGTTTTTTCTGCAGTTCTAATTATCCTCTGAAGTCTGTGTCTGTCTTGTTTGCTGAGCCAAACTAGACAGTTATGGATTTCTGTACTGAGGCTAGTTGGTATCACAGATTGTTAGGAATGCCCACTGGATCATGGCTGCCACAGAACTACTAGCTGACCAGGGTCAAAAAATTCAAATTGGTCATCATAATAGAGACCAAACACTTTTTTATATATGGCTATCTTTATACCCCTGGAGTGAGGGAGTCTCTGGCAATCATAAACCAGGCTATTACTCTATTATCTGCTCCTGCTTTAGGGTTTAAATGAAAAGCTCAGAATTAAAAACCAGCTAATTAAAACCAGAATTAAAATGCAGCTAATTCCATGTTACCTGCAGCTTCTAGGAGAGGATCAAATTATGAATAAAGAAATGCCGCTCTTTTTAATTTTTACTTTTTGTAATTTGATTCTCTTCCCCACAGGCCATTTGTAAAACTATTGTAGGTACTTCAGACGTTCTTAATTTAGTGTCCCAAAATGATGAGGAATATATTTGCTGTAATGCCTAAATAATGGATTAATTAATTTCAGTCAATTCCACATTGGAGTCACCTCTGTGTGAGTTGGGTAGCAGCTACTATGTATAAATGTGCTTAATAAACATTAAACAAGTGGTTTAATATTTTATACTTTTTATACCTGACAAGACACAACTGGTAAATCTTCCAATAGCCAAAAATAGCCAAGTATAGCAGTCCTCCAAAAATTTTGTTTGTGGGATTTTGCATTCGCAAAAACTGTTTTGAGTATGCCTTTTCCCCCCAAAGTATACCAGTAATTGCTTATCCCTCCAGTCACAAAACTATGCACCCTAACAAGAGTAGTGTAAATTGCACAATTATTCTTGGAAATAGTATCTCCGTAGGGTGTGGCAGGTACGCTTTCAAGAGTAACGCTGAGGTAATTTCTGTGCTATTAATGTCATTGAGTTTTTTTCCCCAAATTCTTTGTTGAGCTTGAATGATGTCCCCTGATAAATATGATGCCCTGCCTTGGATTTGGCTGACGCAGAGAGTAAAAACACTTAATGCTTGCTAATTTGGTCTTTCTGTATTTGTTTCACATGAATTATTTGCCAAGCCCAGCTTTGAATGGATGAAGCTAATGGTGAATTCCCTGCCTTTCACAACTGCCTTCCTATCACATCCTCTGTACAGAAAAAAGAATAAACACAGCGTGACAGAATAGTATCATCAACCCAGAACAAAATGCCTTTCGGTAGAGTGTGGCTTTTTGAGTTGGTTTTTGTTTTTTTAAAAGCTTTAGAATAGGATAGCGTAGGCTAGGATAGGGTAGGGTAGGGTACGGTAGAATGGAATGGAATGGAATGGAGTAGGGTAGGGTAGGGTAGGGTACGGTAGGGTAGAACAGAACAAAACAGAACAGAACAGAACAGAACAGAACAGAACAGAACAGAATGAGTTGGAAGGGACCTTAGAGGTCTTGTAGTCCAACCTCCTGCTTAGGCAGGAAAACTTATACCAGGGATGTCAAACTCGATTTCATTGAGGACCGCATCAGCATTGTGTTTGATGTCGGGGGGGGGGCATGGTGTGGCCAGGGTGGGCATGACCAGCTCAACATGACTTGTGTTGGGGACACCCGTTTTCACTGGCAGAGGCACCACAGGCTGGTCCTTCGCTGTTTCCAGGGAGTTCCAAGGGGCCTTGAGTTTGACACCCCTGCCCTATACCATTTTAGAGAAATGGTTATCCAATCTCTTCTTAAAAACTTCCAGTGTTGAAGCATTCACAACTTCTGGAGGCAAGCTGTTCCACTGATTAATTGTTCTAACTGTCAGGAAATTTCTCCTTAGTTCTAGGCTGGTTCTCTCCTTGGTTAGTTTCCATCCATTGCTTCTTGTCCTGCCTTCAGATATTTTGTTATTAATGTAGTATATAGACGGCAGGCTAACAATAGATTTAGTAGCTGAGTGGTTTCAAATTCTTTTGGCCTGTTTTGTAAGGGGTGGGAAATTAATATTGTCGTATTATATTAATCAGCATTCAATTAGGGAGGATGTTATGTGTATGTCTGACAAAATTTCTATTGTACCATTATAGCTGACATCTTGACTTCTTTGACCAAACCCTATGGAGGTCCATTGTTCATTCTACAAGAACAATAAAGACTTGTTGTTTCCCATCTTTGGGCATTCAAAAGTTTAGTATCATTAAGTAACTTGTCTACAGACGCAGTTTAGCAATGCTGACCCATATTTTTAAGTCAGCTGCTGAGAACATGTCGATTATATTTCTGCAGGAAGCAGGATTAGTTTTGTGTACTTCTATTCTTATTTCGGGGCATTCAAAAATAGATTAATCATATCAATGTATCAGTTTAATTTATCAGATTAAATTATCATACTTTTCGGAGTATAAGACGCACTTCCCCCCCCAAAAAAGTGGGTGAAAATTGCAGTGTGTCTTATACATCAAATGTTGTTGAAGCCCCGCCGAACTGCCAGCCCCCACCCTTCGACCATTTTATCGCAGCCTGATTTAGCACAAACAGCTGATTGGCGGTTGGATCGGCCTCCCGGAATACCGCCAATCAGCTGTTCCAGGCTGCGGGGATCGCCAGAGCCCATCACCACCTCCGCATATTGTGTTTTTGGCCTCCGCATGCCCCATTTTAGACCCATTCCAGGTTGCAAGGATCGCCACAGCACATTGCCACTGATTGCCGCCTCTGCACGTTGGGTTTTCAGCCACCCCACACCCCGTTTTTGGCCTCTGTATGTTGCATTTTCAGCCAGTTCCTAGCGGTGGGGATCAGCGATGGCAATCACCATCACTTGGAACCAGCTGAAAATGCGATGCATGGAAGCCAAAATTGGGGCATGCAGAGGCTGAAAACATGACATGCGGAGGCCGAAAATGCAACACGCAGAGGCAGCGATTGCAGCGACGTGCTGTGGAGACCTGCGCAGCCTGGAACTGGTCTAAAACAGAACGTTTGAAGGCCAAAAACACAATGTGCAGAGGCCAAAAATACAACACGCGGAGGTGGCAATGGGCTCTGGCGATCCCCGCAGCTTGGAACAGCTGATTGGTGGTATTCCGGGAGGCCAATCCAACCACCAATCAACTGTTTGTGCTAAATCAGGCTGCGATAACGTGCTGAAGCTGACCAAGCTTGTTGCAATATTTTCAGGATCAGACTCAATAAAGATAATAGGATTAGAGCTTTAAATATATTTCTTTTTAATTATGATAGGCATTCTATATTCACTGAATATTCAAGGTAGAAGCGACGAGAATGGTGAGGGTGGCTCCTTATATATACAAGGGGTGGAGCTAGGAATGGGAGTGGTAAGTTATGAATACATTAAAGTCCAAAGAATAAGTTAACCTCTGATGTTCCATATATACATTATTTACACATTGGAGAATAAGGCATTTACATCTGACAAATCCCCTCTAAATGCGGTTCGTTACACAATTACATTCTGATTCAGGACAATATAATACATATAATTTAGAAGTTAAATATTTGTGTTGTTTAGAAGGTAAGGGTTTTGTTAATATGTCAGCTAATTGTTCAGAAGTATTGCAATGTATTGCTTTAATGAATCCGTCTTGAGACAGTTGTCTCACATGCTTAAACTTTATATCAATATGCCTGGACCTTTGTCCAATTGCATCGGATCTGGATATTTCAATGGCCGCTTTATTGTCTTCATGCATAATAAATGGTAAGGTGGGTTTCTTCCAAACATCAGTGATCAGATCATTGAACCATACAAGGTTATTTGCAGCTTTGGACAAACAAACATATTCCGCTTCTGTAGTAGAAGTGGCTACTAGTTCTTGTTTACCAGTATACCAGTAAACTGGACAATCATTCAATAGAAAAACATAACCAGAAGTACTCTTTCTGCATGATGTATAACAGCCCAATCTGCATCAGCATAACAAGTAATTTTTGGTTCTCTGTCATTATTGGGTTCCAACATTAAACAAAAAATCTAATGTACCCTTCAGATATCTTAGAATTCTTTTGACAGCTTCCCAATGATACAAGGTTGGGTTTACTAACATATCTTGACAATAGATTGAGAGGTAATGCAATATCTGGCCTAGTCCAATTAGATATATAAAGGAGTGAACCTATAACTGATCTGTAAAATGTGTTGTCTTTAAACTCAGGGGAAGATTCATCAGTGTTTCTAAGAAAATCAGTTTGCATAGGGGTGTCACAGGTTTTAGCATTATTTAAGTTACATTTGTTTAGGAGTTCGATGATTTTATCTTTCTGTGTAAGTTTGAATCCCCTTTTAGTTTTGTTAATTTGCACACCAAGGTATTTATTCACTTTACCCAGAGATTTCAGTGAGAAGTGTTCATTTAACTTATTTACAAAGATTTCCTGCTCTCTTTATGCTTTCCAATGTATAAAATATCGTCCACGTAAATTAATACAAATTCAATATGATCATTACTTTTTTTACAAAGAAACAGTTATCAGCAGTGGTGGCGTTGAAATCCATGGTCTTAAGTACTTTTACCAAGCAATCGTACCATCTTTTGCCGGATTGCTTTAATCCGTACAGACTCTTATTTAATAACCAAATTTCGTTCTTATTAGTGTATTGACTGTGTGGTGCTCTTACATATATTTCCTTATCTAATTTTGCATGTAAGTATGCGGTCTGTATGTCATATTGGAATACGTCCAGATTGAGTGCAGATGCTACTACAAGGGCTGTTTTGACACTCTCTGTTCTCACTGTGGGTGAATATGTATCAGTATAGTCTTCTGGATATTTTTGTGCATAGCCTTGTGCAACTAGTCTAGCCTTGTATAAGGTATTGCCTCCTTCTAAGTTCTTAATTTTATAAATCCACCTGGTACCTATAATTGTTTTATCCTTAGGTGCGATCGCAGGTGTGAATACATTTAATCCTTGTAAACTTTCCATCTCTTTTTCATAGCTAGTTCCCATTTTTCTCTTTCTTCATGTGGAAGTTTCAATACTTCTTCATATGTATTAGGTGTTATTTGTTCTCCATTCATATGCATTATGTAATCTTTGTATTTATTTGGTATTTGGTTTCTATTGTTTTCTAATAGTTCTTTCAGGCTTGCTATGGTTATCATGCAAATATCTAGCTTCCTTTTTTGTTAATGTGTCTGTCTTTATTTTATGCTGACTATTAGTCCAAGTTTGGTTTTGTTCTTACTTTTGTTAATATTTTGATTTTCTGTTGTTCCTTCCTCGCAAGATATCGTATCTTTACATTTATTAGGAAATATTTCATTAAGGTGCAATTTTGACCAATGGCCTGTTCATGGAACACAGCTGTTCTGGATATTATAAATTTGTTATTACTATCAATAAATCTGTACCTTTGGTTCCAGTTTCGTATCCCATGAATCTTAATCTCCTGGATACGTTTTTCCCTTTTCTCCTCAATTGTTTAGGTATGTGTACGTCTGCAGTGACTCCAAATATGTGCATGTGTGATAATTTGGGTTTTCTATTGTACATCACCTCATATGGTGTCTTATTCACAATACTGGACCAGGTTCTATTTTGAGTGTAATTCGAATAATGTAATGCCTCTGACCAAAATTGTTTGCCTAAACCAGCATCCTCTAATGTGCACCTAATCATGGTTTGTAGTGTGGAATTTTTCCTCTCTGCAACTCCATTTTGAAATGCAGAAAAGGATTGGACGTGAATGTAACATTCCTCTATCCTTTAACCATTGGGAGAATTCTTTAGACATGAACTCACATCCCCTATCTGTCATAATTTGCTTTATTCTGATATTATGTTGTGTTTCTATACGTTTGTAGAATTCCTTAAATTTCTGAAATGTTTCATCCTTGTGCTTTAATGTGTAAACAAAACCATATCGGCTGTAGTCATCCACTATTGTTAGGAAGTAACGTTTTCTATAGGTAATTGAGGGACTTAATGGACCAACTAAGTCCATATGTACCAAATCAAAAATATTGTTAGTTGATCTGTTAGATTTTTTTGGTCTGGGACTGGTTTTTAGTTTGGTGGACTTACATACTGAGCATTCCAAATAATTTTCACAATTTTTTATTTTGAACCTTCTGCGTGTTCAGTCATTTTTTGTACTACAGGAAAGCTTGCATGTCCTAACTTCCTGTGTAAGATGTGAGCACACTCATCATGAATTGGTTTACCTATTTTTGGTTTCTTTTCCTTGTATGTATTTTTGTGATCATGAGTTATTCTACACTCATCATTGTCACTGTTACTGACATTTTCATCATCTGCTTCAATACAATCTTCCATATTTGAATCAATGTTATGTAAACATCTTTCTTTAGTTATCAGATAGGGTAGACCTCCTTTTATCATTACAGTACCTACATTTGTTTTGTTCTTTTCTATAGTTGCTTTCCCCTTTGAGAAAACTATATTGATATCAGATTCTCTGCTTAATTTTATGGCACTTAGTATGTTGTGAGGTATTTCTGGGATTAATAATACCCCTCTATTTTCCTAGACCAGGCAAGGTCACATTTCCTTTGCCTAGTACTTGAACCTTTTCTTGATTAGCTACCTTTATCACAAACTTATCTTCTATAAATGAAGATAATATACTTTTGTTGTTGGTGGTGTGATTTGTTGCACCAGAATCAATAAGCCAATTGTTATTCTCATCCTGCTGTGTTCTGGTGCTGTCTTGTTTATTTAGCCATTCAGTGACCCAGATTTCCTCTCTTTTGAATTTTCTCTACCCCCTCTACCTTCTTTGTAATTTGGTGGGCTTCTATATTTGTGTCTATCTGTGGAAGATTGTCTGTAATTATATTTGCTCCTATATTCTGGTCTATGTCTCTCTCTTGAGACTTTGGGGCAGTTCTCTTCTACTATGTTCCTGGATCCACAATTGTAGCATCTAAAGGCCTCATTATGTTTATCTTGAAAGACTACTTTCCTAAAAGGTTTGTGGTCTGTTTGGTTACTGGATCGATTTTTTCTTGAATTGTCTTCTGCTATCAATTTGTTAGATAGACTTTCTATGGATAAATATCCCAAATTAATGGTATCTAAGTGTGACATAAAGCTATCCCATGATGGATCAAGTGAATTGATAATAACACTTTTTCATTGTTTGATCTGAAATCACTTCCCCCTCAATTGTAGCTCAGCTCTTATTTTGTTTAGATTTATCAAATGCTCACTTATAGAAACCCCTGGTTTTACTCTAGAGGAAAGAAATCCTTAGACATTCTTGTGGTTGTAGCTACGCTATCGCTGTGAAATAGATTAAACATGCATTGAATTATTTCTGATACAGTTAGGTTTGGTTTGATGCTATGATACATTGCAGGAGACACGCTAGATATTATTATGAAAAATGCTCTATGATGTAAACAATCTATTTTAAAGTCCAAGGTCTTCTTGGAGGGCTAGTTATAAAGAATAGTAAATTTTCTTTCATGAAAATAACCTGAAGCTGTTGATACCACTCTTGTAAATTAATGCCATCAATTCTAAGTTTTGGGAAGTCACTGGGTAAGTTACCTACATTATTCTGTCCATTACTTACAACCTGGGGCAGTCCGTGATCTCTCAAGTGCAGGAAATTACAGAACGGCATTGGGATGCTTGCAATGAGTCTGCGCGGTTTCTGGCCAGTTCAAGTCCTTCTGGGTCGTCTACGTAGTTTCGCACATGCGCGTTGCTCATTTCTTCTTTGGTGGCGTCGTGGAAGGTTCTCTCCCTTTCAGCTCTCTCGATCCGCTCCTCCTCAGATGAGTCGGTCTCTGGCTCGGTTTTTGGGGTTCTGGTGGTGGTGACGGTTCTTTTCTTCTTTTTGTGTGCGTTGGTATTCGATTTTGTCTGTGGTGTAGGGCGAAATCGGCATGGCTCTCTGGCTCGGGCGTCGTCGCTTTCGAAGTCAGGATGGGAGCGTGCAGGTCTTGAGTCGCCGGTTTGATTTCTTGCTTCTTCGTAGATGTCTTGGTAATTTTCAGTCTTGGCCCCAAAGCAGCAAAAAGCGTTTTCATTGCTGATTTTACTTGAGATTTTGTTAAATCGTCTTCACTTTCTGATTTTGGATCATCTGAAGAGTTTGAGACTTCTTTCTCACTTTCTTCGTCTGATAGTGTTTTTTCGCGCCAGAATTTTGAACTGAGCGTTTTGATTGGCTCTGCTCCATTCTCTTTGAAGTTCGTTGAAACCAAGATGGCTGCCATTCAAAATTTCGCGCGGGATCACATCTTTTCTTTTTAACAACTATTTCTCAGTAGTCATCTCACTTACGATTTTTTGATCTTTGGGTTTTTCTTTAATGACGTTTTTCTCTCTCGCTGCTCCGCTGTCTTCAGCATCTCCTGGAGGTCCGCGATGAGACTTTCATCATTCTTTTGGCTTTTTAGTATCTTTAATATCTCTGACTTGAGTTCGTTATTTTCTATTTCGATTTCTTTCTGGTCATTATTTTCACTCATTAGTTCTTCTTCTTCAGTGGTGTATCTTCGGATTCTCTCGAAATCGCATTGGTGGATTCGTTGATCATCTCTTGATCAGTTTCTATTTCTTTGCTGTAGGCCCTGGTGTTGGGCCTATCTTTCTTGGACATTTTTAATTACTTATTGAGTCAATTAACCATCCTCTGCTACCAGCTTGTTGCAATATTTTCAGGATCAGACTCAATAAAGATAATAGGAGTTAGAGCTTTAAATATATTTCTTTTTTAATTATGATAGGCATTCTATATTCACTGAATATTCAAGGTAGAAGCGACGAGAATGGTGAGGGTGGCTCCTTATATATACAAGGGGTGGAGCTAGGAATGGGAGTGGTAAGTTATGAATACATTAAAGTCCAAAGAATAAGTTAACCTCTGATGTTCCATATATACATTATTTACACATTGGAGAATAAGGCATTTACATCTGACAAAGCTGTTTGCTACGAGGACGCTAGTCAGATGAATACTGATGGATGCTGGTAGGCAGAGGCAGAATTTTTTTTTCTTGTTTTCCTCCCCAAAAACTAATGTGTGTCTTATACTCAGGAACGTCTTATATTCCGAAAAATACGGTAATTTAAAGTTAGATTTCCCCCCCAATTGCAGAACTACAGGATAAACTTCTCTAAATATAGGAACACAATTATTGCTGGTGTGCAATACCATGCTGAGTGTGACACTAAGCCATTCCATTTTTGCCATTATGCAAGGGAGAGTCACCTCAACCTCTAATTTACTATTTTGTCATGCAGGACTAATGACTGTTTTTGCGCATTATCAGGTTAAGATCAATTAAAGTAACCATCAATTATCTTGCCCAAATATAAGCAGCGTCCCAAGATTTAGCATCACATCAAAGGACCTTGGCCTTTTTCATGTGCAGGTGACATATTGGTTAGCTTGTCTTTAAAGAAAGAAACTTCTGCTTGAGGGATCATACAACAGAAAGGTATGTGTAAAGGGTGTTTTTTTTTTTTTCAGTTGATCACTCAAAAAGTTCTAAATTTATTTGGGTAAATGCTAACCAGGTAATCTTTAACTCAGAACGATAAATTAAAAGGCAGGGCAGGTTGGGGAAACTATGAAAGATTCCCCCAGAAAATTAGCTCTAGACAACAAGCTTCAAGTTGATTTGTTAATCATTATTAACACACAATCCTGAATCAAACTATTTTGAGATCTCAGGTTTAATTAGAAGGAAACCATATTTCATGAGGTCTATCTCCAGTTTGATGCTCATGGTTTCTTTCAGTTTTGGGCTCCGTAAATGAACGAACTGGCTAAGAATTATGGCTAATTCTTCAACATTAGCAAAGACATTTTTCGTTGTTGTTGAGTTGTATCTTTAATCTTCTCTATTCCAAATGTGCGTCATTTGGAAGATGAATTTGTCTCAAATATAGAAAGTGAATGAAATTATTTTATCTTAGTGATCTTGAATGATTGCCTATGTACGTGAAAGATCAGTGGCTAAGACACTGAGCTTGTCGATCAGGAAAGTCGGCAGTTCGGTGGTTTGAATCCCTAGTGGCGTGAGCAGGGGGTTGGACTAGATGACCTCCAAGGTCTCTTCCAACTCTGTTATTGTTACTGTTAGACTATACACTTAGCCAATGCAAATATCCAAATTCTGAATTTTTGCACTCTGTGCTACAGAAACAAGAAAGACTCTATATCTAAATACAGTCACATTAAAAAGAACTTTCCATTATATTGAGGGGGAGGAAATATGGTAGAAGCCTGCTGAAAGGGTATTTTATGGGGGAGTATCACATGTATGATTTAATGGCTCTGAATTCAAATCTTTGGTGCACTTAGAAAATGATAAATGCTAATGGGGGCTTGTTTAAAAGCTGGTAAGCTTGCTTCAATGCCCTATCTGTCCTTCAAGTTCTGCTTCATCATCTGAAGCTGAGCTTTTAATCTTGCTGGTGAGAACAGGAGGACAGAGAGCAGGCACAAATTGCGGCTTATCTACTTGAGTTTGAACTTCTAATAATAACTAGCCCTGGAGGTTACCATGAGGACAAAACACGTATGAGCATTGCTTCACCTGTGAATTGTGTTGAGCTTCCTGGCATCTAAAATGTTGAGCAATCTTGCATGCTTGCTTTCTTGGGCTTCTTTCATAAAATTGTTTAGTCTCGAGGTGGACAGAGTTTTGCTGCCTGGGGGTGACACCAGGGGTGGGTTCTACTTACCTTTACTACAGGTTCAGAACGGGGCTGCGCGCATGCGCAGAAGCTTCCTGATGACATCCGGGTCGGTGGGCGGAGCCTCCCACTTGGTTTTATTACTGGTTCTTGCGAACCGGTCCGAACCGGGGGCAACCCACCACTGGGTGACACCCAGTATATCGGGAGAGGAATTCCAAGCAGCAACCACACAGCTAGATTAATGGTGTAAACAGATAGGGCTGCACTATGTAGATCAGGGGTGTCAAACATAAGGCCCTGGGGCTGAATCCGGCCCGTGGGTGCTTAGATTTGGCCCATTGGGCCACCCTGAAAACAGTGAAGAACCGGCCCACGGTGCCTCTGCCAGCGAAACAGAGCTCGGGAGGGCCACATATGACCCTCCCAGAGTCTGTTTTCGCTGGCAGAGGGCTGCAGGAGGCCGTTGCAGCCAAAAACGGACCTTGGGAGCCCATTTTTGCTGGCAGAGCACTCAGGCCACCACAGGTGCCCCCCTGATACAAGCTGGCCATGCCCACCCTAGCCAGTCCCCCCTCAAGGTCAAATACAACCCTGATGTGGCCCTCAATGAAATCGAATTTGACACCCCTCAGCAGCGGTGAAATCCACTTATCTTCGCTACCAGTTCAGGAATGGGAGTGCGTGCACCTCTTCTGTGCATGTGCAGAGCCTTCTGCGCATATGCAGAGGGTCAAAATCAGGATTTAATGCCATCCAGGTGAGTGGGCGGAGCCTCCCGCCACCAGCGCTACCAGTTCGTACAAGCCGGATAGATCTGGCTGGATTTCACCACTGCCCCTGAGGTAGGTAAAGAGGTGTATGATTTTTCTGTTTTCATTCTGGGGCGAGAAATAAGATGCATGAGAATTCACACAGGAATGTATTTCGATTGTATTAAGTTTATTTTAGGATTTACAGTACAGTTCTCATGTTTTCCACCTCAAAATCCCGCACCAAGTTCCAGAAATTGTAAACAAAGGTAGTTTCATAACTACAAATGACTGACATTAAGTGTGAATGGAGATTCTCAATCATGCAGGTCATGGTTTTCCCAAAGACTGCTAATGGCCAGATGATTGCCAAGAATATAAATCCTTCCATTCTCCACCATTCAGTCAGAACTGAAGAAGCTTCTTGGATGAGAAGTGAAAGGTCTTCAAGGAAAAACAAAGTCCAGTCGCCTTTTGAAAAAAGCACCTTTGGGACCGACATTAAGTGCTTTAAATCCCAGTGATTTCAACATGCTATAAAGTGTCTTCTTAACCCTCTGTTGAAATCAGTGGGAATTAAATGTGTTCATTGTTGTCTGACTGGCAATTTCTGTGTGGCGCTATTGATGAGAGCGTAGGATGGCGAACATTTACCATCATCCCTTGAAGAGAAAAGAAAAGTCATTAGGAAGAAACCAGACCAACAAAAACAAGGTGTGCATTAAATCTGCATAAGCTATTTTAAATGCATGGGTGTGGATTTAGAAATACAGAAGATAATTTTAATATAAATCTAATGTGAATCCCATTCATCAAATGGAAGACTGGAAGCAAGCTTCTACAGGTGCTAATTTTGTGGGACAGTCCTTCAAACAGAAAGAACAAATGGAAGCGAGTATCTGTAGCTCAGGGTTGAACTGTAGAGTCCATGACACTTAGTTGTTTGCTTACAGATGTTCTATTAGCCAACTAGTGTAGTTAACGTTATCAATGATCAGTGCTAATCTAAAAGATTAGATCAGCACTGATTTAAAAGAATTAAAAACAAATGCATTTTCTCACGAGAAGAATTCTTTACAAATAATCCCAACATATTATTTCAAATTGATCTGGATCTTTAGCCTATTTGTAACTTTCCAAAAACAAAGTTTTATCAGCCTTCTGCTGTTTAATAAAAAAATTAATAAATGAAGTTCTTAAACTTGTAGTTAAAACTTCTTTGGCTAAGGATGGAGAGAAACGCACTCGGTGCTGTAAAACCTGTTGATGCAAATAACCGAAAAGCAATTTCTGAAAGCGATTAGAAAAGGAAATATACAAACTTACTGTCCTTTCAAAGGCATCAACCAAGGTTTGAACAAAATGGCTATTCCCCTTTTTCTCAGAACATTAAAACATTCTGGAGATCACTACCTCGTGGTCTCTTCATGAGCAGCATATCTCTGGACTCTGGAGCACTTGTGGGTGATCGCGAGTCCTTTCCTTGTCCAGAGAGGAATTCGCTTCTCACCGGCTCTTTATTCTTTAGAGCTGTCTTCAGTCCACTATTTCTTCCCCAAAAATTCCATGTAACATTTCATATATTAATTACCTACTAAAATATATTCTCCTGTAGTTAAAAAAAATTGCACTCAATATGCATCAACTATGAGGCCCCAAGCCCTGCAATAAATTGATGCCTTATTTCCTTTAAGAAGTGGAAGTAAAAGTTTAGTATTGGGTTTGCTTTTGAGGTAAATTTTGAGGAAAAAAATTAAGCTGTGTCCACTGGAACAGCATTGGCTACCAATAAGATAACCAGTTTTGGAGTAAAACTTCATTCTTAAGATGAGTTCAAAATTAATGAAGGACTTACTCTGGATGTATAGATACATTGGACTATTCAAACAATTTTTCTCCCCAGTATTATCTTGGAAAAATGATGATGGAGAAACTTCTAACTTATAATATAAATTGAGAGCAAACCAGGGATGAAATTCAGCAGGTTCTGACAGGTTCTGGAGAACCGGTAGCGGAAATTTTTAGTAGTTCGGAGAACCGGCAAATACCACCTCTGGCTGGCCCCAGAGTGGGGAGGGAATGGGGATTTTGCAGTATCCTTCCCCTGCCACTCCCACAAAGCCATGCCCACCAAGCCACATCATGCCCACCAAGCCACGTCCACAGAACCGGTAGTAAAAAAAATTGGATTTCACACTGGAGCAAACCTTATTAACACTGATGATATTACCTAGTTTGGTAAGGAAATGTCTGCACCGGAACATCCAAACTCAGAAAGCACCAGGGACCTCATTTCAACCCTGAACTATGAATATTCTCCTTGATTAATTCCTAACTATGTTTACATCGTGAGTAAGAGGGCAATCAAGAGATCCATCGGTACTTTTTCCTTGCATCACAGTTTAATTCTTTAATGAGGTCAAAGCCATGATAAGTAGAACTTCACAGCAGGAAAGGATATCTGCATGAGTAGATGTTTTTCAATAAAGAGTAATAAATGCAGTTTTAAGAGTCGGGAAGGGAAAAAAAGACATGAAGGTAAGCAAAAGAAACCAGCAAAACTATTCCAAAAGCTTAACGAAATTCTGAAAATAAAAATGAAGAAATGTAAAGCAGGCACACAGCCCAGAACTGTCCATCTGCTGTCAGAAAAGCAAAAGTTCAGAATAATTTTTTTATGTTGTCAGCACTCAAGAGTTTTGCCCTCAAGAAGCAATTTAGTAAAACGTATTTAAATGCAGTTCAGTACACCTATTTTTTTCAATCTACATAAATATGATGCTAGGGAATAATTCCATTCTTCCCAAGAGGAAAAAAAAATATAGGACAGATCTTGGTCCCATCCTTGAAATGTCATTCCCATTGCTTTTTCCCCACTTTCACTGGGAAATGATAGTTTTAAAAAAATTAGAGTTGATGTTTTTCTGTTAACCAGCAATGACTCAACAGACAACTGTTAGATTTTTTTTTTTTAAAAAAAATATCTTACTCTTCATCTCTTTCTGACAAGGAAAAAAGAATTTCACCCCCTGCCAGCTATTGAC